TTAGGTGCGGTCTCATTATCAACATTGCACATAAACGTGGGCCTAGCAGTTACAACACGTAGTCGAGATGAATGAAAACTAGTAGAGATACGAGTACAACGGGCCTTCGTTGCTCATTGGATTGGTTAAGGGTAAAAAGACCGTCATTTACCATCGGATTATGTTGCTGTGCTTAGGTGCGGTCTCATTATCAACATTGCACATAAACGTGGGCCTAGCAGTTACAACACGTAGTCGAGATGAATGAAAACTAGTAGAGATACGAGTACAACGGGCCTTCGTTGCTCATTGGATTGGGCTGCCGCACATATGTGGGGGACCGTAATTAGCGTCGCACATAGACACGGATCCAGCGGCTACAAAAGGTAGTCGAGGTGAGTGACAACGGGTATCGTCATCGTGGTGACCATTTTATGGTGGTCATCACCTACAGAACGTCATAGTTATAATAGGAAAGTCGCCCACAGCTATCTCGCAACACTATTATTTACAAGCTAGTTGTGCATATCTGGGAAAGGGGATCATCCACAGATGTCCCTCGCACTGCCACCGCAAGTTTGTGCTGTTATCTAACTTTATTGCACTTAATGGAATATGAGCTCCATGAGGAAAATGTGTTGTGAGCAGGTTCGCCGAGCAAAAATATCCCATTTGTTAAATCTGAAGCGTCTAAAGTAAACAAACGTCCACGACTGATCCTAGAGGGTGGCATTTGCGTTAAATACACTTAAGATGTTATTTTATTCTTCAGGAACACCGGGGAACGCCAAAATATGCTAAAGTGCGATTCCGTGTTCTATGGGAAGTCGATTCATGCACAAGCCAAACTAAAGCAAATGATTGGCTGGTCATAGCCACGTGATCCATACCGAAACATACAACCACTGCATACGAGGCCCAGCTGCTCAACAGAAATTTGCACCAGCAGCCACCCGTGGCTCGGTGGCCTAGCGGGGTAAGCTCGGGGGCGGACCTAAGGGTTGGCGGATCAAGTCCGGGCGACGGCGCTCGGCAACTTTTCGACTTCCCCGGTTAACATGTCATTTAGTAGGATGCTACTGCTTTTGCTGAGTCATATGTAGCACTAAAAATGATTCACCAAGATGAAAGCAACTTAACGTTCCGAGTGCGAAGTTTTGGCTATGGTTACATATCCATGACTATAGTCAAGTTTGAATCGAGATTTCCTAAAACACAAATGTCGAGTTCCTCCCAAGCTTTGATTGCAAGAAATGATGTGGGTAAACAGAAGAAAGTTGTGTGAATAAAATCGGTTCGTTGGATACGTTAAGGTTCGCGGATGAATTCTGTGATGTTAAGATTTTTTATTTTATAAACGTACTATGGCAAGTATTTCACGCATACAAGCAGAGGTATCCTGCAATAAATCATTAAAATTGTTCCAGGCTATTTTCTCGCTTGCACTGACAGTCCATCTTTCCTTGGTTTATACGCTTCAACCATTTAACTTGTTTTTTCTTGGCTTGTGCACAAATGCAATTTGAACGCGCGCGCTTCCTGGCTTGTGCATAACTAACCAATCAGAATGCTGGCTTGTGCATGAATCGCATGCCTGTTCTATGTCACGTAAACCGGCATAAAATGCAAATCCGCGATGGTCTATGACCTTGACATTTCGCTCACTTGAACAAAATGCTACGTGCATCATGTCGCGGGAAGGTGCAAATTGATTAGACTAACTCCGCATTAAAATGGCAATTTCGAAAACCCTATAGTTTTGGCGAACTCAATTTGGGTCTGCCAATAGCCGCGGCAAGGTTAGCATCCAGGAAACTACAAATTACAGGCGGCGCGCATCGTAGTTTTAAAACGCGAGAAGATTGTGTCCTCCAAAGGCAAAGGATTCGCTCAAACCGGAATCACAGGAGACAAGTATCCGGCGGTTCTCTCAGTTACCAAGGTGCGATGAAGGCAAGCGCGTCGCAGATCCTCGTTTAGCGCCTTGTATTTAACCCGTCGCGTGAACTATTTAAATCTGCTGACCTCTCCGACAGCACACGCTGCTCAATGGAAGCACACATATATTATACTTGCCGACACTATGGGGTTTTCGATGCTGTGACCTATACAGGGAGTTAGTCTAATCAACTTTGGACCTCCAGTTGAACTTATCGTAGCATTTTGTTTAGGTGAGTGAATTTTCAACGTCACGGACTATCACAATTTTGCATTTTCTCAGCGGTGTAACGAATGCTCCGATTTGTTGAGCAACAAGCACAAACATTAGCAACCAAACCGGGAAAACTCCGAACGAACGGCCACGCAAACGTGCTGTACAAAATTACAAACCCCAACGGTTTTTGATAAACGGTGAAGAACTCCAAACTGACATGGATCAACAGGGTTGCAAGCTGGTGCCTAAACCGATTTCGTCGCAGACAAAGCTTTTGGTACAAAAATATTATAACCGAAGCTATAAAAACTGTTTGGGTGGCAAAGAAAACGGAATATATAAATGCCTTGTCAAACTGAAATAGGGTACAAATATACCAAAAACAAAACGGTCAATCATTCAAGATGGGAGGTAAGTTCAAAGGTATATGAAGTTGCCACAGCCGGTTTACGCGAGATTCACGGATTCACGGATTGATACACAGATCGAGGCTTTTGCCCAAGATTCCCGGGTCGGTTTTGTTCTTGTCGGTCAGTGGCTGTCGTTCACCTGAAAGGCACAAGTGAAAAAGGGTGTAGCATTGTTACTTATGTTCTCAGCACGGGGCAGTATGCTTGCCAGCACGAGGATTTCCATAAATAAATGTCCAACGTTGCTTTAGAATGGGTTCTAGAGGGAGCATGGTCAGCCGCCGGAGGAAAGTCATTCCACGCAGCTACTACCCGAAATGAGAAACAATTTTGTCTAATGAATGTGTGCGTTCTGAGCTTGAAAATTTTCTTACTATGCCCCCGCCGGGTGTTTGCTGGGTCAACGGTGAAAAATCTGTTTGCCAAGCTTTGTTCAAACAGGGTGTAAATAAGACTTAGGTCCCCTCGGAAGCGACGATACTCCAGGGGAAAGACCTTCAGGGGTTCTTTCATGTCAACGTTTTGTGGAAGATTTGAAATCCTGGAGTTCAAATGCCAGTGCCCTCCAAATGCATTCAGACGCTGAAAGCAGTGATCGTTGGACTGGTATCCTCCCACGAATGGCGAAAAAGACGCCCATATGGCACTCAGTAGAGACTTGGCGAACGCTTCTCTAGTTCGTGGTAAAAACGGACCGGAAGACGCAACGAGAATAGATACTAAGACAGATCTAAGTAAATTATTCCCTATAAGCATATCCTTATCACTGCAACATCAAAAGTAAACTTAATGGGCATCCGGCGTTCAACAAATCCGTCGCACCTTCCCCATATTACTCGCATGGTATTCTAAGGGGCTTACGTCAGATCGCTCTTGATTATGCCGATCAGGCAGTCTACTCATTGAAAATATCCAGAGAACTGTTACGAAAATGATGTCGGCTTTAAATGCGTGGACTAGGAAACGGGTCACGCGATACCCGGTCTCCTTCCTCGGGCATGTTTTGGTCTCTGAAGGGGCTTAATAGTAAAACAAAGTTTGATCAAAAGGTTGCTCACTGTTAGCCAACTAACATACTGCCGGTACATAATTATGAGGTTTCCGAGCTCAGAGCTCACACCTTGATTAGGCATGAATTTTCTTTCTGGTATTTGGTTCCCGGAAAACCTCGCGACAGTTGTCCGCGCTGCATATATATATATATATATNATATATATAGTTCAAAGAACTATTAGACGCACTTCCAGTCGAGCCTCATGCTGGTAAGCCAACTTTCCCGCGAGGAAAATTCGATACCCTCATTTGCTTGTGCCTACCAGGTAAACGGAAGCCGCTGAACGACAAGAACAAACCCAACCCGGGGCGCTTGGGAAATCGTTTCGATCCTGTGTATCAATCCATGAATCCTTTAATATATTTCTGTCATCAGAATTATCCAAAACACAAATATTGTCCATTTCACCGTTCAGGATGAACTTTCATTCCGTCTTTTGGATACCGGTTATTTGTGTAGCACAAGTGAGCCTATTTAGCACATATCCGAAATCGTACCAATACCATTGGCGCATTATCCAGTCTTCAAGGTCCCTTTCGCACGCACTCCGGGCATCGGGCTCACATACAAGTCTGCATTCTGATTGGTTCGCTCGTTCCAGGAACAAGAAGGGCGCGCTCTCAAGTCAGAATAAAGCCTAATCCATTTTTGGAAGAAGCCAAGTGCTCATTGTGGGAAAAAAGTGTAACTTGGGCGAAGAATTGCTAATAAGTAGTTTAAAATATTTTAGGGCATACTTCAGCAAGGGACACAAGCGATTGTAAATAGACCATGCTTTTTTTTGCTTGCCATTGTTAAGTTGACATACTTTTGAGTTTCCTTAGTTAGTCTCTTACGGTAATTTTCCTGATAGCGTTGGCAGTAATTACAAATACTTTAACTTCAGACGTGGTCAAATAAAGTGGGCCGTATACATAAAATCTGATGTACTCACCAGCCTGGTTAGAAACAACGTACAACTGCTCTCACATATGTGCTGGGAATGACTGCTGGCACAACTGACAAGGTGTTGTTGTGACACTCCAGCCTCCTGCCGCTTTCGGTGGTGTACCAATCTCTTCCGAATACTGAATGAAATCAGCACAATGTTACTCGGAGAAAAATATACCTCCTTTGCTGAGACTAATAAACTGGAAACAACTGGAGCAACAGAGTCTGGATTTGAACCGGGGCTTTCAATCCCACATTCAAACAACTAACCCAACACTCCATCAGACCTCGGTTGTCTATTGGTTAATGGCCAAGTCGATCTAGCGGGCCTGTCACCGTTGGGCTGCTCACTGTCCACGTGACGCTCTTTGGTACCGTCAAGTGACCCTTTTCGAACCAATCACCTGTTTGGGTGTGGCTTTTGGGTGAATCAACTGTGCACATCTCTTTTATCTCTGGTCTATTGCTTATAATGACGGAATTGAATGAAGAAGCACAAAATTCTGGGTCCAGTTTGTCGAATGCTGCCGTAACGACAGATGTTCGGGATGGGGTTTCTGAGAAACAAGATCCAGAAGCAATTGAGGATGTACCCTTCACGATCAAGATTATTCCGTCACATTCTGAACCATTCGAATTACAGGTATAGCGTTGTTTGATGAAAATTCATATTCTTTCAGGTTAGCTCGTTTGAGCTAGTTCAGGAAATCCACCGCGTCCTTATGGACCGTGAAGAAACCTGCAGCTGCACCTGCTTCTCACTTGTGCTTAATGGTCAAACACTAGATATGTTTGCGGAACTGAAGTCAGTTGAGGGCCTAAGCGATGGTGCCGAGATTAGAGTAGTTGAAGGTAACCGGCCTTTGGTTCTCAAATGCTGTTTAGAACGTTACAGCGTGCGTGAAGCCAAGAATCACGTTCGACACGTGCATGATCTTCTGTACTCTGTTGAGCCTTGTGATGCCTACGCAGGTCGTGAACAGATGTCGCTCACATTCGTGAACACAATTACCGGAGATCTCGGTAAGTAACCGCCACATTCCCGCAGAAACCAAATTACCATCCGAACTCCTGGACAGAATAGTCGCTCCAGTCCTACTGAAGATCATTGTTACGGTTCGTCGAAGTTCTCCAGGCGAACCGTAAATAGTTGTTGGATGACGAAAACTTGCCCTTATTCTTCGATCTTCAGGTGGAGGAAATGAGTCGAGTTTACTTAACGGATGCGCGTGAAAAACTGGTCTACAGATAATTAAGGACTCGGATCTTTTTCCGAGGCATCCGCATCTAACCATAATTTTAGGCCTAGAACCACAATTGGTGTATATGTATGGTTCGCATACATGCATGCTAAGCTCCTAGGGCAGAAGCCGTCATCTACATCTTTCGGGGCGTAGGAGAGGAGCGGCTTGCGCTCTCAAAGTTGGTGAGGCTGGCATTAGGGGTGGTTTTCCCTGAGCTTGCATGATGCTGCAAAACGAGGGCCGATATGTGTACATGTGGCTGCCTCACAACTGTACCAGAATATATTCTGACAAGATCCTGGTTGCCCAGACAGTTGTCTTTTGTTGGTCTAAAAAGCACCGGATCCACTGAAGGAACTTCTTGCATCCCGCACACAGCGAGTTTCTTTCGTAGGGTTTTGTTTTGCACCTCATCATAAGTCAACTAAGTTGACACCATTCTCTGCGCCCTCATCAAGATCTTTCCACCAGCTGTCCTTTGTCAGCAAAATATTTGTGTGAGATTACCTTTTGCCTGAACTTGTGTCTGACATTTATTTCACATGTGCACTCGGTGGTATGTAGTGCTTGATTCCACTGGGAGAAGGGTGATCGACCTAAAGTCAGGCAGTTGCATAGTCTGCTACCCTCGTAGGTTCAGCTTGGATGCTATTTGTCGAAAGACTTGCTAAGAAAACTCAGCCACGCCGCTTGTCATGTGTTGGAGTAATGTGGTTTCGATGTCATTACCAGGGGACATTCTGAACGGGGAGTTTCTCGGATCGCTTTCGATGAGGACAAGCTTGGACATCAAGTCGTTAAAAACAGTCTTTACTGTAGGGGAAGAAGGTTGACTAATTGTCTCAGCAAAAAGTTGGTAGTCTATAATATTCGTGTTCCCTTATTCTTGAAAAGGAGTAAGATCTACTTGACCTGTCGGCTGACGAGTTTGTGCAACGGTTTGAGGTTTATCGTAGAACGAGTAACCGTTGAAGCTTGCCAATCGCTCTTGTCTTTGCGAGCCAGTAATTTACAGTTGTTCCTTGGGGCGTTGTATTCTCCCCAGACGACCACGGATATGCTTAGTTGGTCCTGTTTGCAAGGTGTGCGTCCGTCCACATTGGACCAGTTGACCATCCAACTTGAATGCAAACGACTTTATAAGTGAGTTAGTGTCAATGAGGATCCTCATTTTCCGGGACAAAGTATCACACTCCTTGTCTAGGGGACTCCCACTCCGCGAACCATGATTTGCGGAACCTCTAGCTTTGTGTATATGCAGAAGCCAAAGTTTCTAGAGGTGGTTTGTTGGTACCTTGCTAACTCCTTGATCGGTCGCTGTAGTTAAGAGGTGGGTCGCACTTGCTTAATTGTAGGCTTAGATCCCTAGTTTTTCAAGCAGTCTCAAATCAAGGAAAGAAGTTCAAGAAAACCTGTGTGTGTGTTTGTGTCCCATGTTGGATGTGTATCGGTGGGTTGCTAGAATTTTTTTATCCTTGTCTGCAATTTATCGGGTGGACAGTAGATAACTGCTACTAAGCTTTTATCATTTTTGGTAAGTGGGACTCCAAGACTTTCGCCAACCTAAGGGAGAGGCCAGTCAGTTACCTCGAAAGTCGTGTATCATCAACGGCTGGGGGCAAGTCCCGTATGCGTGACTGACCTTTTGTGAGGAACGTTAGTTATATCTTGTAATGGGGTTTCCGGGATGATGATGTCAGTGGTACGCCACATTTTGGTTGCCGTTCAAGCCAGAGTTTGTCTGGCCTCCATTATCCTACTTGCGAGGGCAAAGCTTTTATCCAATCACTCAAATTGTGCTAATTAGCGTATCGATACCATGAGTCAGCTGATTGGCTGCCTCGCCTCAGTTGAGGACCACTGTCCTTTTAGTTGGTTACACCAACTCATGATGGTTTTGATCGGGACTGGTCGAACTATAATCCTAATACCGATTGCATCATTTTACCCCTTCGTGACCAAAACCATCCAATTTCTTATTGTCTCTTGGTCACCCAGTCCAAAACATTCGAACAGACATAAGAGTGTCAAGCTGATGCTCGGATGTTCGTCTGTCAAGCAGTCTCGTGCTCCTCTAAGTCACGTTCCGGTCCAGCAGTTTATTCCGTAACAGTACGGTTACTTGTAGAGTCTATTGTGGACCAAGACCATTTCCTATATCACGGGCATCTCCGTTCTCTTGTAAATGTGATTCAAGTAACTGACTTGTGGCAAATCGGCCTCCATGGTATCGAGAGCTCAGTGGCCTTGTTTTCAGCTCACGCCTGCACGTGCAGGTGTGCTACTTGTGATGGCTTTCTTCATTCTTTTTCCTCTATCGCGTCCCCCAATCCTGACTCAGTTGAACGGTTCGTAACGATGTCTCTGAAAAAACCAAGATATTTCTCCTGAGCTTTGCTTTTAATAAGTGAACACTAGACCAGAAGTCACTAACACCAGACAGTCGTTGTTTCTGTCGGTTTTTCTACCATGCGCTAATTCGTCTTGTGACTTTCCCCTTTTCATGTGGTTTTTATTATTTTTCGCACACACACATTCGCATTCACGTACACAAACACCAAGTGTGCGTCAGCCCGATCAGTTTGTCACTGGACTCAGCCAGACGATCGATTTTAGTTTGGTCCACCTTGTATTCCCGCATGGCACGCAGATGCTTTATTGCCCGCCCCGTGTAGTAGATGCCATGCTGGCCTACGCTAATTCTAAAGACCGAATCTTGGAGAACAGTGTCTGAGAGTCACAGGCATACCGCGCTTGCTTGTACGTATTTGGAGATGCTACCGTGCGTGACACGTAACCGATCCCCGTGGCTGCATGTTACCGGATTACTTAGCGCTTCGTTCGTGTTTAGTGGGCTTCGCAAGCGATAGAGTCAGTGCTTGTGGCGTATTCCGGTATGGTTTATTGGCTGCCTTTTTGTCGCCACTCTTGCAATTTGTCGAATTCGGAAGTAACTGCCAACTCTCCCAACATGTTTTTATTTTTTATTGCGCAGATCGGAAGAGTGTCCAGTCCCGCATAGATTCCCGTATGGAATTCACTCCTCCAGAGCATATTCTTCCCGGGTTTTGTAATAATGGACCCCATGATCTTCCGCTGTGTCCATTACATCCCCTTGAGCATGAAGGCAAACCTATACGATGCGTACGTCAACTCAACTATAGCAATTGGAATCCGCCACCTCCTCCCCGACGGCTTCTTGGAGATCTGATATACATTTTCTTCCATACACTAGAGGACAAGCGTTACCACATTACGGCATGTCCTAGAGGCTTTTTTGTCAATATGTAAGTTAGCCGGTTTTCACATAACTTCTGGGCCTTAACGCTTCCCGTATAATCTGATGAGCATGTTCCCTGTGTTCCTTTTTCACCCTGAATACTTTTGTTTGACGGCTAATCTGATCGCCCATCTTCCATTTCCTTAGTCGTCGGTCTTAGCATTTTAAGCCGTTATATTGATCTCACTGAAGGGATGACGCTGAGGAAAATGAAACTTGCCTCCCTTCCTGCAGTATTAGTTCCCTTTGAAGAGTTATTTTGCACTAAATCCGGAATGAAGTGTAACTGCTACCTTTCAAGGGCAGTGACCTTTACGGATGGATTATTGTAGCCACACACCATGACACACCATTTACCAAAGGGAATTATCTGAGGAGAACCTTGCATCCAGGTAAAAGTTGGAACGGAGGCAACGAAACTGGCACTACTTCACTGTCGGGAGATGTCCAGCCAAACTCCCATTTGTCGCTGTTTAGAATTGTACTTCGCATGCCAGAGGACTATCTGCCTCACATAGTTCTGTTTGCTGTGCTGAATTAAAGCGACCGGAATATGAGCACTCTATGACCTGGCAACAAAGTTTGAGAACACTGATCAGTAAACTCATTTGGGTTGACGGCTGTCACTTAGCTGAATGGGGACCCCGGGATATTGCTGATCAGTGGTTAATGACACTGGCATACATGGCTCAATCGCGCAGTCAGTGGTGTTCGCGCATCGCCTTCAGCAAGTAGCTGTCCATTGGAGCAATATACACTGCGAACTTATCATGCTATCACCTCCAATGTTTGACTGTATCTCCCACGTATCCTCATTTTCCGGTGACCGAAATTGTAACAGCTGGAATCAAATCACCCTTGGTACGTCGTTTATAGCTGACTGACCGGGAGGACTTTCTAGTGAAGTTACAGATGCCCATACTATAAACTCCTCTGTCATTGTATACTCATCATGATATTATACAACATCACCAGCCGTAGAAAGCACGTCCATATACAGTGACAGTAGCCGTCACCATTTCGTTCGCTGATGATCTGGAGAGATAGAGCTGGATAGCTATGCGTTGGAGGCAGTGGCCGATATAATTGACACGTGAATCAAGTAGTGACAATGGACTTCATACCTTGGAGATCAGAAGGAGCAGTTGTGTATTACAGGCCACAACTTGAAGTCACACGCGCTATTAATCGCGCGACTGGGCCATGCCTGTCAATATTTCTAAATACTAACGCCTCTCGTCTCGGAGTCTCCACCAACAGAGGAGTCAATAACTAGTTCAGCTGAGTTTTCTGCATCCATATTTCCCTTCTGTAGTTTGACATCTGGCTCGTTTCCGCGTGCGTTTTTGCGAAGACGGTCTTCCAGAGGAAGTCGGTCGACTGGTATACGAAGCACGTAACCAAAGCAGTGCAATCTGTGAATGGCGATCTTTTCATCTCTCGTGAGCGGGTTATTTCTTCTGCAAAACGTTCGGCGTACTTCAGCATTACTGATACAATGTTCTCTGTGTTCAGCCAACTTTCAAAGAATGAGACCACAGGGCTTCCTCGAAGCCACGGGTACCAGGCTAATGCCACGACAGTATTCACACATATTCCGTGTATCCTTTTTGAAGGTGGAAGTGACTCTGTGTGTCGCATTCAGCGTACGTTTCCTCTTCACCGCACATGGCAGCAATAAATTTCGTCAAGTGGGTAACCGGGGATTCTTCACCTTTGAAAATGACTGAATACATGCCGTCCGGTCCGGTCAGAAATAGATCGGGTTTACTTTCCCGTAACGGTCAATTAAGTTTTACATCCCATTCACTCCCATTCACTTGTGTGGCAGCAGGCCAGTTAAACCGTTCATTGAAGTGTATGGCCCATTAGTGAAGCAGCTTCACTTATCGTTCCGCCGACAGCTGCCTTGTTTTTGCCAATCGGTAATATGAATTAGTGTACGGTACAGTTATTTCCGGTGACAAAGGCCTTCTTCATCACTCGAGCTTTCATTGTCCACCAGAGTTCTCGGTTTCACCTTGCGCTTTTCGACGTTTGAGGGACTTGTGCGAGCCATCGTACTCATTACCTGTTGGTGTGGTTTTTCTAGCGCCACTCATTAGCGTTTTCGACTATATTCAGTGGTCATTAGAAGATGGTGGATCAGCACGCTATTTGCTGACCTGCGATTGCCTGAAGGAACGTGAACTGTCATGTGTAATGGCACTTTGGCGCGATGAAAACCAAGCTGAAACTCAGTAGAAAACTCGCTCTCGAATTGTGGTTCTTCACCAGGTTGGCTATTAGCCACGTGGTCCAGTTGAATCCACGGTTGATTTGTACATGGTGACAGCTAGCTTACACTAGTCGTGTTTATGTCGAAAAATGTTTCCCGGGAGCTCAAAACACGGACTTTGGTATTCATATCGCTGTCGAGGATATCAGTATCAGTGTTTCCTGTCTGATGAATGAGCTGGGATAAATCTCTTTGGGAAGTGTCTTCAGCGTCAAAACTGCAGTCCGTGGGCACCTACGCCTACACTATGTTATTGAGGGGCATTCAGCGTGATTAACCTTGATAACCGAACGGCTCAGTGACTATTCTTCGGAATCCTGTTCAGTGAAGTGTTTTGCGATACGGAGCTGAGTATAACCCACACTGGGCGCGAGATGGCTCAAGTGGCAAGAGCGCAAATTTTCTAACCAAAAGGTCCGTGGTCCGAACCCAACCTCTGCCTCTCGACTTCCCCTCTGTAGGTTTGGGCAACCTGGCATTGTCCCAGTCCTCGTGCTTCCTTCAAATGGCACGGCAGTTACGCACCAGAAGGGTGCTACGGCTGAACGTTTAAGCGAGTATGAGGTGTGGGGCAAATTTATCTGTTCGTCAGCTTGACGTAGAGTATGGGAGCTGAATTCCCCTAGAAAGTAGGAAGAATCTCGTGGGTTTTGTTTATCGCTAATGGGCAGTGGGTTGAATCAGGCATATGGGTCAGACAACGGACAGTCAAATGTTTAGGCAACTTTCGCTTGTGGGGTGGAAAGGGAGTGTGGGGAGATATCGGTGGACAAAACTGCAAGCAAATGATATTTTCCGGTTACCCAGGCCGAGAAAAAGCGTTCATTTAAGTTACTCCATCTTGACCCTCTGACTCAAACGTCTAACCTACAAAGCGGTAGGAGGATGTAGGGATTTCTTGCGGGACCCATTCGGGAGCCGATGACTCAATAGTTCAACCTTCTCGGTTTCAGGGGTTTGGCCCAGTCCCAGAGCGCATGGAATAAAGCATATGTCTCACTTCTCATGCTACCGTGCACGGCCGCATCGAGCTCATGACAAAGCTTATTTGCTTCCAGACCGTAATGGTTAACTCACCAGCCGTCGCGGTCAACCTTTGGGCGATCGGAGTATGCGGATTATCAGACCGATTTTTTGTAACCCGTCCTTCCTCGGGAGAAGGTTGCATCGCTGCTTCTGTAAATATGGATTTGCTGGTCGTCTGAAGACAGCACAACTTTATGCTCAGGATGCATCATCCTGAGCATGCATCATAGTATGGGGTCTCGCTGCTTTCAGTTTGATTGCTTCTCTCTGGAGTTCCTGTCGTTGTTGGGTCTTGTGGAACTAGCTTACAGCCATTGTGGTCCGCGGGGTCATTGCAACATCATCATCATCATCGACAGCATGACATCAGTGTTCAACACCGATGCTTCACTGCCGTAGGAATATCCAAGTGTCTTTACGGTTTCACGCACAATAAAGTGAACTGCCTACGTCTGGTTGCACGGTAACCTTGAATTGGAGTGATTGTGCAAAAACGAAATCGTTCAGCTGTAGTACCTTTTCGTGCCTAGCTGCCATGTCAACAGAAGTGGACACGAGGGCTGGGATACTGCCAGGTTGCCCAGACCTAGACAGGAGCAGTCGAGATGCTAAGGCTGGTTTCGAACCACGGATCTTCCGGTCCTTAAGCTGGTATCTTATCCACTGAGTTATTTTCAGCCCACTGATCACATCAGAAAAGGGTGCCGCTGGACCGTTCCCATAGCACGTTGGGGGTGAGGATCCGTCCAGTACATTCTACCTTTCTTTGAGATGGATTCTCAACGTGCCTTGAACACGTATGCAAGCCAACCTTAGCTGATACCTATTCTGTATTTTCACTTGCCGTTGGCAATGAGTTAATTTTCTGAACCTTGTGAGCAAAAGAAGCTTAGTGAAATATCGCTCTATTGTGTCTCCCCTTTACTACCTTGTTTTCTGTTGTCATTGTGTAGGTCAACGGAAAATGAATTCAATCCCCACCCGACACCACATGCTTATGTGGCTCATTCCCTAGTAGACCTTCTTAAGCAACTCAGTCCTGGTTTTAAACGGAACTTTGAGGCCTTGTTGAAACGCCGGGCGTCCAAGCATCCTTTTGAGCGTGTTCCGAGCCCGTATCAGGTTCACAGCTGGTTGGCACCATCATTCGAGCATACTCCGGATTCAGTTCGAAAGGAAGAGGGTAAGTTGTATAGATTGCCGTATTTTGACAGAAAACCGTTTCGGTACGTACGTTCTGGTCTTTGTCGTTTTTCGTTTTGTCGTTGACGAATTCCATTTGTTAGGCTGGAATGTGGGGTGCTAGTTTCGCCTGCTTCCGTTTCAGTGGACAGTATCTCAGTGTCCCTTTGTCCGCAAATTTATTTCAGGCCGAGACAACTTTACTTCCACTTCCACAATACCGCCGGACTCGGTTACTGTGACCCTTTTTTCTTTGCAGTTTACGGTCGCGTATTGATATCTCACGCTACACTAGTTCCTCATGACGTAAGCCCCGTCAGCATGAAATAGTTTTCTGGCCATAAACGAACCCGTGCGAACGAAGGACCACTCACCCGCAACAGGCAAAGCTGTGGGAGCTCATCCTTTCAGTCGACGTATTGGTGGCCTTCTTTCTGAAACATGTTTCACTTCATCTCATGTTTGAAGAGATGAATGGGATCGAAATGTAACCTCAAAATTGGAGAACGGGTGCTTCGGTTTAACTTTTTAGCTTGTTCTACGATTAGCTGAAATAAAACGCACTAGTGGCACATTAGTTCCTACTGCTTTGTGTTTCAGCATCGCTCGTCCCAAACTACCGATCGCTATTTTGCTTTCATATCTTCTTTACTGTAATGCCTAGTATATATTCAAACGTCCTCCCTCTAATTATGTGGAAGAAGAGATCACAGGTCGTCTGTTCTGGGGGAAGATTTACTATTTGTTTACACATCAAAGGACGAGCCGGACGTTGTTTCTACTGCCGCTTGTTCCAAGAGGGAATCGTTGAAATTGTTGAGTGAGGTTAACTGTTGTGAGTGTGGTAACCACAGGGGGATCAGCTTGACCCCAGTTGTAACGAGACTGTTGGCGTCAATTGTGCTTCGTCGCCTTACGGTGGCTCGTGAGATGCTGACTCGAGAGCAGCAAGCGGGATTCCGGCCTG